GTTAAATGCAAGCTGTACTTTCATCTGTCTTTCATCTGTTCATTTCTGACACTGCCTCTGGTTCAGGAGTTTCTTGACACGAGGAACAACGATTTGCTGGATTTGTCCTTGTTTAGTTTCTCTTGATGCTCTGACTCTGTCCTCAGCTCACTCTTTATGAAGCTCCCCCAAATTCTTGACTGGATTTTGCTCGAAAATCCTGTCAAGGCTGCGGTTTTTCCTGTTTCCTACTATAGTTTTCCTTCCACTCAATTTTTGATCAAAGTGCTATAACTCTTTTACAAGAGACAAATTGTGGGTTTTTATTGTCTTTAAGCCATTGCAAATGTGCACAGAACTTAGTCAATATTCAAAAAACAACTCAATTTCGCTATTGCAATGTAGCGAAATTGCAATAGCGATAACCTACAATTAAAATTGTAGGTGAATAAGTTTGTTCATGCTATAAGTCTTTATAAAATGTGCGGTACCATGATATTCCTACCACTTCCTGTCGTCTTCTTCGTGGTTTGTGCCAGCAGAAACATCCGGTTGTTGATCATGTGACTCTTGTGTTTCCATTGCAGTTTTGCGAAACAAACCAAATTCCATTTAAATCTCTCAAAAAATCACCTTATTGAACTTTTTTTGTCAAAAAACGAGTTTTTCCTTTTTAAATCTCTGTGTTTCCTTTAAGCAAATTTATTTTCGAAATGTCAAATTGTGCAGTTATATGGTCAATGGAAACGCAGCTGGTTTCTGATAAATCCATCTAATGGTTGGGTTTCACATTCAGAAGTGAGTGAACTTTTTTTTTTTCTGCCATGTTCAGTTTTTTTTTTTTAAGCAAGCTTTCTGCTCAACAGCAAAATCCAGTTGTTTTTGTTGTTGTTAAATTTCATTTTAAGCATTCAGTGGAAACCACTGCTGCTCATTTTCAGCTCATTCTCAGCTTTTTCTCCAAAAAGATAGCATGAAGTCAGTTTGCTTTACCTCGAGAAATGTTGCCTTAGCCAACATCAGATGCATGTAGGCCTCCAGAACAGAGAAGGCTGTGGGGTTTGTGAGGGGCGAGCTTAAAAGACATCTGTTGTTGATTTCTATCTCAACTGGAGGTTAGCGGCCCCGGGCCTCGTTACAGGGACAATATCTGACTCACCGGTAGAGCTGCTGCATTGTGGGAACTGATGTTATCTCACAATTCTTCTGAAGTGGATGTTGCTTCAGAACTTTCTGGATCTGACCAGAAGAAACCCTCCAGACCCATTTGGAGAAACTTTCAGATCGACTGATGCTTGCAGGATTTAATAGCGAATATGTAACGTGCGTGTTTCCAGATTAGAACCATCATGTCGTTCTCTCTTGTTTCTCCATTGCTGCCTTTCTCCTCACTGGAGGCTTCAGAAGGTGGCTGGAGGTGTTTCAGCGCTGCCACCGCTGAACAAAAACACTGCATAAATAGACTGAGCTGTGGACTTGCTCCAGGTGTCGTGTGAGTCACCGACCTCAGGTGTGGGACGTGGCTCCCAGGGGGGTCGGTGTGCATTAGTGGTATGCAGCAGATGGTAAGCCGAGATGAGGCAGAACAAAATATGACGAGGAAGGAAGGGCAAAAATGGTTTAATCTCCTATTGCACTCATGAGTCATGCAGCAAAAGCATTGAGCAGTTCTTCAAAGTAAAAATAATATATTACATGTTTTAGACTTCTAAGAATAAAACCACTTCTAAGTATAGAAGTCTAAAACATCATTCTGTTTCCATGCTTTTCTTCTACAGGGAGATTAAAGTGGGTGAAAAGTAACAATCGAATGCTTTAACTCAAGACATAAGTTAGAATTGTGCGTTAAAATGGTCCAGTCAAAGCCCAGATATAAGTCTAACCGAGAAGCTGTGGGAAGATTTCTAAATATATGTTCAAAGCTTTTCTCTCTTTTTTTATTTTTCATTCACATGAAAACACCTGCAAAGGGCCCAAAACACTGGGGGTTTTTCACACCTCCACACCTGCTGGTGGCGCTAAACGGGGAGAAGAGGACATGCGCATAAAGCGAGGTCAGCAAAAACACAAGAAGAGAACGAGTGGCTAAATGTTGTGCAGCTCCTGCAGGGCAACTGCAAACTTACAGTCCGGCATTGTTGTTGTTATGTACCTAAGTACGATGATACCCTGACCTATAACCTATAGCCTATAGATCAGGCTATAGGTTGTAGGACTGCTCAGAATGATTCATCTGTTTACAGACTAAAACTAAAACATACGTATTTTAATGATCACTTATCATTTTAATGATAAAATGTTCTGTAATACTCTGGAAGGTATTACAGAACAAAATATGACTTTCTGGAACATTCGATAACCTTTTAGGACATAATATAATGTTTTACAACTTTCTAGATTTCCATTGCTTGTCGTTGGATGTTCTACTTGGTCCTGTGCTTTTCCAGAAGTTTCTAATACCAGCATTTTCTACAAAGTTCTAGAATACTCTGTGGTATTTTAAGAAAACAACCTGATCAGAATATATGGCAGACAGGCAGGCCTCTGGGAGGTTTTCTGCTTTCTGAAATTTTCACTCCAGAACCACTTTCCAAGAAAAGGAAAAAAATTGCTTAGGGTCCCCTAAAACTTTCCTGTTTTAGACAACAGCGTTCCTGTATAGACTGTGACTAAGCCTGAGTTATTTTTCAAAGAACAATGGGCAAATTCTCACTCTCTCGACGCACAAAGCTGATAGAGAGACGTTTCAGAGGACATAGTTCAAAACTAACAGCATAAATGCATGACACACACACACAAAAAAGATTGAATTGTATGTGTTTTGTGTTGGTTTATCAGAAATCCCAATCAATGACTCTGGAGTTTTAGGTCGTAACGAAATGTTCACACCCCTTGAAGTCTCCCATTCACAGGACGCTGTGCAAAGACTCTTCACCTTCTGTCCACTGCTGACCGGCAGTAAACCTCCTCTCTCCTGCCCCACCCCCACACTTTCATTTAGCCAGTAGCTTAGCAATTTAACTAAATAGGCTTACTTGTGAGACTCATCTGCTTTTCCAATCTCACCCCGCACTCCTCTGCTTTGTCACAGTTTATGCAAGCACTTAAGTTGTGCTTTGATTCTGTGTCATTCTTCCCGGTCGTGGCTGCTGGACTATAAAAACCCCTCTGAAACGACGTGCGGATACTCTTAAAAGCTTTGAAAAGAACCCGCAGTGATCCGGGTCAATAAAATGGAAAATAAAATAAAAAATACACCTTCGTGATGTCTGCTATTGGAGGACTGTGTAATTTCTTCTTCTTCTTCTTTTTTTTTTTTTAAGCAGGAATAAAATGAGGAATTTGCTGCTCATCGAGCTGGAATGCCTGTTTCCCAGAGGAAACGCACTCTTGTTGCAGTGCATTGATAACCCTGTGCTACTCTGCAGCCACCATCTGCAAAGCAGATCCATGCTGACTGTACGGCTGCTTTCAGAGGGGAAGCAGTTCAGAGTATTTAGATCGGACTGCTCTCTTCTTAGAATACTAAGCAATATCCACGTTTTTTGTTGTTTTGTTTCTTTCTTCTTTTTTTTTTAATCCCTGCAGACAGGTTGATCTTTGTCTTTCCTCCAATGATTTTGATCTAATCTCATTTTCCCTTTCATGGTCAAATGTCAAAAGTTTCTAAGTGACAGCTGACAAGCCAAATGAGTGAGTTCACTGTGAGCGTCCAACTGTACTCATTAAAGTGGAGATAGTAAAAGACGGGAGGAACATTTTTTTCCTATGGCATGAGTGTTTTCTGTGTGTGTGTGTGTGTGTGTGTGTGTGTGTTGCACAACTTTGCATCTTTCTTCTAAAATCTCCAGGTAATGCATTACATTCACAACGCTACTGGTTGTCACTGGTAACAGCTCTGTAAGTGGGCATTTGAGGCCCAAAGTCTCAACTAGAAGTACAGTTCATGTTTACCAGCATAAGTATGGCAGGACATATTAACATATAATGAACCCATCCTCAGAGATTACATTTTTATTGGAAGACTTCTCTGTTGTTAACTTCACATTCTGCTGGGCAGGATTTAATCAAAGATTTATAAACTGACAAGAAAATTACAAAGGTTAAGAGTCAGTGAAAATCTAAAACAATTAAGTTATCTACTTAATTGTTATCTACTTCAGCTGTATTAGCTGTATTTCAAATTTTTCTTTTTTTTAAAGAACTTTTTAGGTATTTAGATTAATTTCTATAGTTCTTTTTATACTTTTCCTAGAACTGATAGACCCATGTTTCAGCTCCTGATTAACAAAATGATGTTCTTCCTTTCAACACATGGGGATCAAATTGTTGGCATTACTGACAAAAAAAAAATAAATAAAAATAATGGTACATAAAAATGGACTGAAAATGAACTAATGACTAAGGTATTACTTATTGGTTCAACAGAATTATCTTTCAAAATAAAGTAATAAAACAGGCCAGGACAAAAATGATGGCATCGCAAGAAAAGATTGGAAATAATTCTTTCAATTTAGCTCACTGACACATGGCAGCATCAGAACTAACTGATTTTAAGAAACAATTAACAGTAAATCTAAAAAACAAAACAAAAAACAAACAACTAAAGATCACCAATAAATATTTGTGTTGATATCAAAATGCATTCATTTGTTTAATAGCTTCATTTGATATTTTATAAGTTCGCTTTCATCTAGACCTTGAGGGGCAATAAAAATCAGTGTCAACTGAATATTTATTATTTCTTATAAAAAGTTTAAATTAAAAGGTTTTTTCCTGTTTCAATGTTTTAAATGAAGCATTTCGACGTATATTTAAGGAGGAGGAACCTCATAACACACCGTAATTACACGGTGGCCATTTTGACAAAGATGTGAGCAAATAAAGTGTTTATTAAAGTTACACAGCGCAGCTTCAACACCAGGCGTGAAAAGCTCCACGTATTGTATGATAAGCTGTCTTGCCATACACGCGTCCCTCAGTTTGACGCCGCGCCGTGACGCTGAGCTGACAGAGGAAAGCTGCTCCAGCCGGAGGAGCGGAAGGGGAGAGAGAGCCAGCGATGGCTTCACTCAGACAGGAGCACCGCTACGGGCTCTCCTGTGGAAAGACGACCAGAACCGGCTCCGGCATCACCCTGTACCACGTCAAGCTGACGGACACGGCCCTTAGAGCGCTGGAAGCCTACCAGAACCTCACGGTGCGCCATTATTGCTCTTAATTAACCTGTTTGTGTTTGCCTCTTTAAGAAGGGCCGTGTGTGACCGTGTTTTCTTTTTCTTTTCCCGCGTTTCAAAAAGTTTCCACTTTCCCTTTAGTGATATTGCTGGGCTGCTTGTGTTTGTATTTGTGCTGTATTTGCCGCTGTTGGCAGCACAAACGGCGCAGAGTCTCCGCTGTCAGTCTGAGGCTGGACCAGTCTCCCTGACACACGGGGGAAGTGGGACAGAACCCTGTGATTAATTTAAAAAGAAAAAAAAGCTCAGCTGTTCCTTTGAAACCCCTATTAATGTCAGAAGATCTCTAACCCGGATGCTTATCTGATCTGAAAAGCGGGCCGCTTTGTCTCATAATTAGCTCCAACCTTTGAGAAGCATTATTGATTGTGTAACTTCCATCTGAACTGATTACAGCATGACTGTGCTCACTGTACAAAACCTAGAGCATTTACTTTGCACTAAAGCTGAGATTAATTGCCCCTTCCTTTTCCTCCCTTTCCTCTGCAGGGAGTTTTGCAAAATGAGACGTCAATCTGTTTCAAAGGAAACCACGGGGTAAGTTTGTTAAACATTTGATTTCATTCCCACTCCTATGTTTTAGTTTCACGCGCATGCCGAAGAAACGCTTTAAAACTCTTTCTCATTGGGAGCGGTATATCCTTCTGCAGCTTAGCTCATTTGCTTAAATGGATGAAGCTGAATTACAGGATGAGTGGCAGTGTTTAAAACAAAAGAGAGGCAGCCATCTATTCTTATGCAAGAAAAATAAAAAAAATCCAATCATCTCCTCTTGACGAGTCACGCTTGACTGACGCCTGGCCTCAGAGGGTGGCTGAGCTGCCACCCTCTGAGCAGAGGCAGGGCAGCAGATCGGAGCCATGCGGGTTACTGGGTCAGGCCGATGACTGAGCAGGGGGATTTGTTGGGTCAGCAAGCGGTGCTGGGAACAGAGAGGAGCAAAGGCGATGTTGGAGCTGGAGTCAACCTGAGAAGTTGTTGATGAGTCAGAGAACATTGTGTTTTTTCCTATATCTGGTTAAATTATTCACATGGCGTTTCAGCCCCCCTCATCCACCTCTTCTCTGCAGTTCAGTCTCTGGTTTTCTCTCACGGTAATCGATTTGTGTATCAATGTGAAAGCCGGGCCTTTGACTAGGCCATTCTGACACACTTGTGATTTGATCTAAGCTAGGAGTGGCCAATCATCACACATGAGTGGTTTCATTGTGACAACAGTTAACTCTCCCTGATGATGTTTTGGTTTTTTTTCTTTTCACTGAAGGTTCCAAAGTGATAAGATTACTTTTTCTTTATCATGACGAGTTATGGGAATGGTTTGCCAACATGTTCCAGTTCTAAAGTGTTTCCACACTTGTTTGTTTATTAGTAGCCTTATTGATGAAGGCTACTTTTATAAATTGCCCATTGGTTTGTGGTTTGGTTTTAAATAATTGTTACAGTGTATTTTCACCAATTTGTGATCTGTTAAATCATACTTGATCACATCAATGGGTCCAGGGAACACAGGTGGAAGTTAGCAGGTTTTTTTTGTCGTTTTGTTTTTTTCGCTCAAACCTGATATCATACGTTTCTCCTTTTTAAAAGGTTAATAAAATGTTTTACATTCTCAGCGTAAACAGAGTATAAATTTCATGACAGCTGGAATCAACACTCATCTTTAAGAATATGTTAAGGTGTGTTCACCTTGTGCTACTTAGCACAGGTCTTCTTGTAATTGTTTTTCTGAAGTAGTCTCGTTAATAATCGGTAAGTTGTTCTTCATCGCGGTTTGTCTTTGTTCTATTGTTTGTTTTTTTCCTTAGGACCTCTGTAGGTGATTGCATGGCTTTCCTTTAGCAGCACACAGCCACAGCCTCTAAGAAAGACTGCAATGAATTTAAAACATTGTTTTATTTTTTTCAATCATCACTTTTATTGCATAAATACGAGAAGATATTACGACAAACTATTAAGACCATCTTTCCATGTTGCTACTGAAGAAAAGCATTCTCACTGCATGGTTTCACATTGGGGGTTGGTCCGGTCAGGTTGTTCCGCAGTGTTACGTTTTCAACCACATTTAGCTCTTCATATGTAGGATAGAGATTTTATTTTTTTTTCGTTTGAGAACAACTTTACCGACGCATTTGCTCTATCTCCTATAAGGCTTGCAGTGAAACTGGACCTCCTTTAACTATACATGCTACTTCTTTAATCTGTTGTACAAAATCCTGATACAACAAATGATGTCTGAAGACAAAATGAGGGAAAAAAAACAAAAAATAGGCAACGTTTCCAAAACACTCTGCATCAGATTTGAGACATAATATCTCACCAGCCTGTCTTTGTCTCTTGGGATGTCGGCGCTGGATCTGCAGTAAACAGCCTGAACTGTGTGTGTTTTGACTTGAGCTGGGAGCAGCTGTGTCCTTGGGGAATAGTTACTTTTCACTCAATGCTAATTGCCCGGGCTGCTTCGAAAGAGTCACAGCCCCCCTGCCTGTCACGACGAAATGTTTTAAGGCTGGCGTGGTGGCGAGTTTTAAAGGGGGCAATCATCAAACCGGTTAAACCTGACGAGGCGTCTGAATGGGAAAGTGTTTGCTTACTTCTGGAAAGTTTCCATTTCAAAACTGAATAGTCCCTGTTTTTAAGTGAGGATATTAAACCTGCATTGCTGTAGGGTTTGCTGACAGCTCTGTGTAGAGGTTATAAGGAAGTCAGCTTCTTCTTCCATATTATTTTCTTTGGTCCTGAGGGAGTTGTGTCTCTGGAAGCCCCAGAGTTGCAGAGCGTTCAGATCAATATGTGTAGCGTTGAGGTCAGAATTATAAACTCCTTTGATGAAATCACACAGAACTCTCAATATTTCCACGACAATTGATCAGGATATTTTAATGATATGTTGAATCGCAACAAGCTCGATATTTTGCAGTTGCACGATTGCTTGTGTTTCGTGTCGTCCTCTTTTCTCTTTTTCTACCAAAAACTGGATGTCAAAAGTCTTGCATCGGTCTCAACAGCTGGAAGGGCCGTTTTGTTTGCGGAGACATCGGGATCCGTTTTATTTGTCGTTTTCGTAAAGCTAAGCAAAGTTTTAAATATTGCCTAGAAATTCAAGTTTACTGACCTTCAAGAGATTCTACTCGCATTATTTTTCTGTCCCCATTATATTGCTTGAAAATGCCCTTAAAACAACAATATTAACATTTTTATCACAATAATCTCTGGGACAATTTATTATCCAGCAAAGTTTGTTATGGTGACGGGCCTAATCTGGGACAAACCTGAGCATTCAGTGAACATTAAATCCACACAATGAGTGATTAATCACTCATTGATTGATTAATCAACGAGTGATTAATTAATGAGTGATTAATCAACATTGAATCTCACATAAAGAACTCAGGACCAGTGAACGTTTGAACCAAATTCAACACATGCACACAAGAAAAGAGATGAGTTTAGGCCTCAGACAGAAGGTAGTAGACGCTAGAAAGAGGACCTAGAAAGAGAGGCGGTCGTAAAAGTTTTCTGTGATTTCGTCAGCTAAAGAATGAAAGCTAGAAGCTAACAGTTCTAACTTGAATTTTGTTGGGATTTTATGTGACAGATCAACAAAAAGTTCCTCCTGACTGATATGTGGTTTTCAGACATTGATGTAAAATAAAGTTATTATTGTATTTGTTAGTATTCTCATTGTTTCTGAAGTTATGGAAAGATCTCAAAACATTCAGTGTTGAGTGGGACCTTTTCTGTTTTTGTTTTTTTTAAAGGATTGGAGCACACCCTCCCAGTGTGCTGCACAGAGGCCTAAGGTTAATATCCAAATGAATGTTTAGAGGTAATTACAGGAGCTGTAGTGCTCTTGATTACAGACTGAGGCATCGTGACTTGTGTTTGCATTAGCTTTCACTGTCTGCTCGGCTCAGACGTCGACGAGTGTTTGTGTCTGGACCAGAGGCACTTCATCGGTACCATGAGGGAGAACGCTGCTGCGAACTCTGCCCTGCTCCTGTTTACGCCTTGCTCCCTGGTTCGACTCTCACCTTCTGTGTGTATAATTATGTACCTTAAAGCTGTCTTCGCTGCATGTGTGCAGATTGCTATGGTGAATAGCGTGAAAACACCATGGTTTTACCACATGGCTGTATTTAGGAGGCACAAGTCAAACAAGCTGATGTGCTCTGGGTAATTAGTAGGGCTGTCTGCTCCGGCTGCATGACAGACAACTGCTGTTTTAAAACGGTTACCGTAATAAGACTGATGAAAATGTCCTGTTCCATAGGAGGTTCCTCGTTTGCTGTCAAATCTCTGTAAAAATGCATTTAAAAAAGCAACTGACCAAAACTATTTAAAGACTCATGATGAAAAGGAGGGGAAATATTCAAAATCTCTTAATTGTACACGGCAGTTCAACAAATAAATTTCTGACCAACATCTTGAGACCAAGTTCAGTCGTCGTCAAGTTCGCCTGCTGTGCTATAAACTCTTCTTCTGCACCACGTTAACGGAGAAGGAGCAAACTATCTCCCTCCAATCAGGCGGAAGGCAGGTTGCCACCCGTCAGCAAAAGGGAAGTGACATCACAGTTTATCAATAGCAAATAATTCAAAAACCAAAAGTTGGGAAATTTGGTAAAAGTAATGATAAATAAACAATAAATAAAAACAAAAAGAATCTTTCTGGAAATGGAGTTCAAATACTAGAATATCACAAAGGCAAAAACTTTTCATACGCCTCCGAAACCAGTTTCCCGAGCGTGTTTTGTCGCTCATTTTTAAAACATATTTATTGGTCGGTGAGCTGTGTGTGGATGCTGTTTGTTTGTCCCGGGCGATGTGAAGACGTCAGGTCTCCTTGTCCCGCCATGCTCCAGATAAAGGCGGCTCCTCCCTCCACGTGTTTCTGTGGAGCTGAAATGGACGTTCTCGCCGCTCAGTCTACCGTCGGCGTAGTTTTAAAGGAAGGGTTTGTTACTGCCTGTGTGTCTTCATGCTGGCTGTGCTGCGACCCTGACAGTGCCCTCTGATTGTGTGCTGTCGCCTCTGATTTGAATAACAATGAGCAGGGGAATGCAGGCTATGCGGTGTCACCCTGCCTGGGTCTCCCAAAATGAATCCAGTTTTTCATCCTAATGCGCTGCCGTCAGCCCCAATGCGTGGAGGCCTCGCCTTGCGCCCAGAGCGACAGAAGAATCCCTACTGCGAGTCCAATCATCTGAAAGCTAACGCTAAGCATGCTCCCAACTCACTCTATAGATTATTAAATTGATTTTCACATATCCTTGCGATTTACACTCCTTGAATATTTCCACATTTCTAGTGAGATAACCCAAAGACTACTACTTTTGCTTCTGTATTTTTTAAATGATTTTATGTGAAAGACCAGCGTAGAGTGATGCATATTCTTGTAGTGGAAGCAAAATGATCCAGGGTTTCAAAAAATCTAAAAAGTGCAGCAAGCCAGATCTAGGATAAGCTGTTGCGAACATTAATTTTCAAATCTTGGGCTCAGATTTGTAATTAGATAAAGGGCCTGACTTTGACTAGGCC